ATCTCAGCATTGAGTATACTACTAATTAAAACTGAAGTTTAATCTGACAGTGTCAGCACCAATTTAGAGATGATTTGAGGGTCTAATGCACAAATACGATACATTTTTATTAATAGTTAGTGTACTTGAATGTATTTTTAATGTTTAACTCCCGAGTTTAGTGTCACTTTAACACCTTCCCAACCAGCTCCTACACCTAGCTGGGCTTTAACACGCATCCACCGCTTATATGCATCCACTATTCTGTGCTGTCACTGACAGTTCCTGGACACTGTTATCGAAAGCCAAGGATGGGTTCCTAATCATATGCTCACATTGACTGGCTGTCACAGGAATCAAATGATTGGAAGCCCCTACCCAACTCCTTTCGTAAAGTAACTTTTCAAGGGCTGGTGGCAAGGTGATAATACCTCATTGGTTGCTGTGAAAAAAATGTTTTTCCAGTTTCTCCAATTCTGCACCATTTGCTTTGTTTAAAGGAGAACAATGAGGTGAGTGATTTCCAATCATCTTCATACTTAGAGCCGACCTGTGGCAAAGAAGCTGTCACAGGTCGGCTCTATCGATTGGGAAGTGAGCAGAAACATGCACTAATCCGCTCACTTCCCGATCATCTCCCTCCAGTGAGCGCTCCCCGCAGGGATTCCCCCTCCCCTCTCTGATCCTCCAGCGCTGAGTGGGGGAATGGACAGGGGAGGGGGCGGGTACAGCTGGCTCTGCCTCTAGATTGACAGCTGTCTCTGCCTCTCACGCAGCTAGGTGGATCCAGACAGTATTGTCGGGATCCGTCCCGGCTGCGGCACTCACAGTATATCACGGGCAATAGCTCACTATATACTGAGCATTGGGTCACGGGAGGAGGTTAGTATATGTCCTCCCGTGACCCTAAAGAGAACTATGGGGAAAAACACTTACTCCATAGTTCTCTTTTAATAATGAATTGAACAACGTACTAGTCTCTAAAGCTCTGCAAAAAAAAGTCAGAGATGTATAAAAATGTAAAATGAATACATGAAGTTATTGCTAACATTGGTACTTAAAGTACAGAAAACTATTCACATTACTTATAGGAAGCTTGCGGAGACTGGCTGGCCAGCTCGGAGGGTGCAGGATGTGGAGCTGCTGTTTGGCTTAGAGAAGGAAGTTGTTCTGTAGGAATTGGGTAGGTCTGAATATGGCCCATCTGTGTATTTCCGGTGACAAGATAGGTGGCATTCGGATGTTGTCCTTGATATGCCTGAAGTGGAGACAATAAAATGAGAAGCAGGAAATCAACTGAAAGAAAGAAAATGTCTGCAAATTTGCTGAGCATTACCTTCCTGAAAGATAAACGTTATCAACACAAGAGTAAGTGTGACATCCCTTCCTAGAAGACAATTCAGGATACACAGGAATGGCATACCTGCTGTGGAGCGGCCCCTGCAGGCGGCATGTAGTACTGCTGGTTCTGCATCTTGGCATACATTGAATACATGGGGTCTTCGTTCATTAATTTTGTGTACAAGGACAGTGACTCCATGACTTTCACGTTCAATTCTGACAACTCAGAGTGCTTCCTGAAAAACAACACACAATTACCGAATGCATTTCTGTATATTCTTGCTCAAAAATACAACTTGGTTTATAGTCATATAACAAATAAAACTATTCTACAAAGCCCAACTCCAGCCCAAACTATTCACTGTAGATAGAGATGGAAAGGCTTTGAGCCTTGCAAGTTTTAATTGCTGTGTCCCCGTTTAGGGGATTTCTGTCTAGCTGATAGGTATCAGACTGAGAAGGAAGTGACACGCACAGTGTTCAAAGAGGTGGAGTGGCTGGTAGCAAAAGGCTGGGAACAGGACATTGCATTGATAGGGGCAGTATTAGAGGATATCTAAACCCAAAAGACACAAATGCTAACAATTGTAGCTCACCAGTCATTAGACATGGCGGCTGTATACGTTTTCTTTTTCAGGTTAAGAGCATTTTCAAAACAATACCTTTTGATTCAGCAAGAAATGCAGTGTACTTGTCACTTCCTGTGAGCTTAACAGGAAGCACAAACAAGCATTTCCTGCTGCCATTCCCATCACCCCTAATGTAATGGGGATGAACAAAGGCAGACATGCTTCAAGAAGTCCAGGCGACAACTATACCTCCCTCCATAGATACAGTGGAGGAGTAAGTGTAGCCACCCAGGGACAGAAGTGTGTCTTTTGCAGGCTCACCAGGGCAGAAATAAAGGAAAAAATCCTGGAAAAAAGCAACTAATGCAGCCACCACATCTAAGGACGGGTAAGCTGCAATATAATACGTTTTTGTTGTTGTGTGATACACTTTTAATCAGTGGAAAGCAGCAACGTATTAGTGGGGCAAGTACTGTCTTTCAATCGTATTTGTCTACGATATTGGACTATACCGTATTATGATGGGGACTATTTACTATCAAACGACCGTTCTTGGAACTGACGAAAATCTTCAAACGAAATTCTATGTATGGACACTTTTACACACTGGAGACATGTGACCCCCCACTCTAGTCTGATGCCGCCCCCATGTTTGGAGAGTTCAAAGAGAACTATGGCCAAACCTTTTTTGGCCATTGTTCTCTTTGGGGTGACTGGAGGGCATTTACTAATGTCCTCATGTGACCCAAAACTCAGCATATAGCAGGCTATTGCCCGCTTTATGTTGACAACGCAGAGCTGCGCTGCAGCTGGCAAAGATCCACACAATATTGTTGGGATCTACCTCCCTGCCTGACAGCTGGCACTGCCTCTCTAGAGCCAGCTGTGCCTGCTCCCTCCCCTGCCCATTCAGTCAGCGTTGGAGGAACGGAGAGGGGAGGACGGAATCCATGCGGTGACTGTCAGTCACTGCTCGCTGAAGGGAGAAGATCGTGAACTGAGCAAGCAGCTCAACAGAGCTGATGTGCGACAGCTTCAGAGTCATATGTCAGCTCTAACTATTTCACTCATCCAATAGTTCTCGTTCAATATAGGGGCCCCGCATTTTGTGCTGAACTGTACACATTGTGGTCATAGAGTAAACACCGACCTGTCAATATCTTCAAGTTTTTCATCAATCAATGGTCCCATTTGGTGACAAGCAGCTGGTGGATAAACACACAGAGTTAAAACAAAGAATAAAAATAATACGAGATCTGCTGGGTCTGGCAAACCATCAGCTGGATCTATGCTCTGTAGCATCTGCAATAAGTGATCCATTTTATCCTAGGAGAGTATTAAAACAACAACAAAGTCATTTATGAATTCAGCACACAGACAGGGACCATTCAGATAATCCAAGAAAAAGACAAACCCGTTTAAGAATGACATTTCATGGCAAATAAAACGCCAGTTTATTTGCCAGCCCCTAGCAACGGTTTTAAAAACACATTACCAACCCATTGCACTCCCTCCCAAAAAAATGCCCTAGTCTCCAACACTTCTGGGAGCACTGGGTGAAATTACTGTGCCTCCCTGCAGACCTGGTGACGTCACCCATGGCTCCCAGGAGCATTCAGGGCAGAGGGGTATGGGTTTTTTTTTTTTTACATTTTTGCTTTTTAAATCCATTTGTGATTGGGGCAGGGGGCTGGCAAAAGAAAATAAAACCTCATGTTGCCATTTTAGTTAGAAAGACTAGGTAAGCGAGAAAAACAAATCTACCTAACTGAATTTTTACTGTCTTGGATCAAAGTTCCTTTCAACATTTGAAAGTGTAGGGAAATCGTCCCAATAAACTAAAGATGGCAAAAAAAGTAGTGGTTTTAACCCTCTCTTGCTCGATCCAAAATGGAAAAAACAGAAGAAGTTTTGGATTAGGTTACACTTTAAAGGAATCCTGCACTAAGAGGGACATCTAGACAGCTCCTGAAAATGTTAGTTGCTTGACCATAATACTGATCCAATAGCTTTGATCCTTTACTGTAATTTTCGTGATCTGCGTATGTATTATAGGTCAATTATTAGAGCTTTTAAATATGACGTTTTGCGCCGGTGACCTAAGGCATTGTAGCCCTGACATATAACATGTCCAATGTTGCAACATATTGGATATGCAGTGGCAGCCTCCAAATTTCCTTTAATAATCCTGTTGAACAGAGGAAACACCATGGGACACAAAGGAGACACATACCTCATCAATATAGACAGACTCAGGCTCTGGTTCTATGGTTTCCACTTGCACTTCATCACTGAACTGAACTGTTTTCTTCTCTGTCTTCACTAGAATAATTAGATAACAAAAATATATAATTAAATTATAATAATTCATAATACATTATTGTTATTATTATTATTTCTTCAAACACTACTACTTCTAATAGCACAATTACATAAAGGATAACAAAAACAGCATAAAAAAGGAACAGAAATCATCTTGAAATGACAAAGAAATGTAAAAACAAGAAAATGATGGAGAAGTCAGGGAGGTGCCAGAGCACAGAGCACAATACACCGCGGTCATGAAGAGATATTTTACTGCCAGCACATAATGAGGTTCGGAATTACGGAGACGTTACTTACTCATTTCCGGCTCTGCTGTGAGGTCTGCTGTGACGAAGTTGGAAGGGAATAATCCCATCCCTTCATTAGTCTCCCCCTTCCACCAGTTGGGGTCGCTGAAATGAAATTGAGCCATGTTAAAAGAATGTAATTTGGCAACTGCCACCAACAGGATGGCAGGACAACAAATCTGTACATCGTGTGTATGTTTACAGACATGATTGCATTATTCTAACATATAGATCAGGGGTCACCAATTACAGCACGCCAGCTATTGTGGAAATCCAATGAGACATTGCAGGACTCTTACAGCCATAGGCATGATTCACACAAGGAGAGACATGATAGCATTTGTAGTTTCACTGCAGCTGGAGTGGCAAGGCTGCCTACCGCTGACCTCTCTGTACTAAGTAACACAGGCCTCCAGCTTTGGAGCCTTCTGATGGCTAGTTGATGGGACCTTTTTAAAAAGGGTCCTGGGCTGGTAAGGTGACATTAAAGTCACAACTACCCCTAATGCTGCTTTAAAGGACCTTAAAAGATGCCTCTTAAACCAATCATCTTCTTTCCAGTAGTTTTTAGGAGTCCCTCCAGTGCTGGTGCCGGTTTCTGATCCAGCGCTGACTGCTGTGTCTTGTGTCCCACGGCGTCTGTCCGACGTGCACAACTGCGTGCATTCCCCCTTCACTGTGTCTCTTCTCCCGGCTGAAAATATCTACTGCGCATGCGCCCGCCCGATCATCCTGATCGGCCGCTCAAGAAGCTCCACATTTTCAGACGGGAGCAAGCGGCGGCGACACAGGTAAGTATTTACCCATTTGGTAACTTTTTATTTTTCTTAAAGTTTTTGCATATATCTATTGCTTGCTAGCAGTAGATATATGTAAAATATTTAATACTACTTTAAACTCCTGGAAGACTCTGGTAGGATGCTGGTTCCTAAGGCTGATTGTATTTAAGTTGAATGAATTGCTCAGGTAGGTCATATTATTACAAAGATTGGGAAAAGCTAAAAGGCGATTGCACAGAGTTTTTACAATCAGGTTGTAGGCTGTTTGGCCAGCTGTACATATTGATTAGCATATTGACTGAGCTAGCGCTGTATTTTAATATGAGAACACAACGTGGGGGAAAACTGAATACGTTTGTAGCTTAGTCAGAGACACTACCTTTCCGACTAATAAAGCTGGTGCCATTCTGAATCATTTCCGGCACTGACTTCCTAGTTGGTCTCCATTGATGTCATTCTCCAGCCCAGCTCATGTGTAGTAATTCACAAGTCACACAGATCGGAGCAGCAAGGGCATCTCAAAAACAGGATCCTAACAAAGTGCTATAAAGGATTCTGGCACTACTCAGATACCATGAATGCAAAAACGAAAAAGGGACTGACAGCTATAAAATGTACAGCAGGGGTGGACAAATCTATATGGAATACAGAAGTCAGCACCTTTTTTTTTCTTTTTGAGGAGTCAGCTCCATTGACAACGAGAGAAAATCTCAGGTTAGGTGCCAGCTGTAATGTTTAAGAAGAATTGGCGGCCTGGCTCCTGTCCAGCCCTAATATACACCAATTTTTGGTTAATTTCCACATGGCAATAATGCTTACTGGCTGAATAAACAATGCACTTCGCGCTCAGCCTCGGTCTCTTAATAGGCAGCAAGCACTAATTCCAGCGAGAAGCCAAAATATTATCATTATTATAAATGTAATGTGCCACACTCTCAAATGTGCTCTATATCTGGATGCAATATAAATAAATTAATAAAAAGTGCTTTCAAACAAGTGAAAAAATATATCCATTAAAAAGATAATAGCAGCAAAATGAGATGATAGTAGTCCGCTTTACAAAGACGTCCACTGTGATGCATACACTGAGTGGCCAGATTATTATGACCACCTGACGTTTGTAGGCTAATTAGCTATAATTTTGCGCTGAAGTTGCTAGAGGGCCAGACCATTATAAATAGGGAAGCAGGTTGTTTACCACGACAGTAGAAGTGATTTTTTTCTGAAGATACGGGGAAACAACGCGATTTAACAGCCTTTGAACGTGGGATGAATGTTGGTGCTCGGAGCCATGGAGCGAGTATTAGCAAAACAGCGAAATTTGTTAAATGTTCAAGAGCAGCTGTTGTTAAAGTGTTTAAAGACTGGACTGTCAGCCGAAAATCTGGGTCTGAACGTGCGAATTGTGGCCGTCAGCGACTAGTCAATGTTAGGGCAGAACGGATAGTGGCAAGACTGGTACAAGACAACAGAAGGGCAACAGTGCAGTGTCAGATTCCTCGCATCACCTTTCAACATCTCGTGGCCCAACGAAGTACTGATGGGGTGGTCATAATAATCTGGCCAGTGTATAATCTAGCCAGTGTATATCATACAGCATAAAGTGAATAGTGCCTCCAATACAAAAGTGAATGCAATTAACCAGTGATTAAATAATCCCTTCATGCTCCTTGTGATCTCCATTTTCCACTCCCAATAGAATAAAGGTGCCCATACACCTTACGATTATCGGACGAAACTTTTCGTCCGATGATCGAACCGTCGTCCGATTTTCGTACGACGGCCCCATCCTGCCCCGATTATCGCAAGGTTCAATCAGCGGTAGTTAGAAAAACACACCTGGACGACTTGCGGTAATTGACCGCAATTATTTTCGTTTGCGCATGCGCAGTGTTAATCGTACGATTTTTGACGGACGGAAACGCCACCAACCAAGCGAACGATCAACCAAAGTTTTCAAACATGCTTGACCGTCAAAAGTCGTACGATTGTACAGTACTATCGGTCGGGCACTCTATTCACACGTTACGATTGTCGTACGAAAAGTCGATCGCATACGATTATCGTACGATAATCGTAAGGTGTATGGGCACCTTAACTCTCACCTTACACAACCTTATGTTAGAAAGGTCTGAAAAAGCCACTTCCCTTTTCAATCTCAGGAGGGAAGATACCTGATGTTTCCACAGTGAAAAAGATTTCCTCTTTCTTTCTCCACTATAAGGACATACTTCTCCAGTTGCAATTATATTGCATCTAGATATGGAGCACATTTGAGAGTGCTGCACATTACATTTATAATATTAAAAGGAGAACTATGGGTTTAGGGCTTTTCCCCATAGTTCTCCTTAGGGTAACGGGAGGACACAAACTAGCGTCCTCCCGTCACCCAAAGCTCAGTATACCAGCTGTACGCCGCAAGGGGGATACCTGCAGAGAGCCGTAACAGTAATGACTCTCTGCAGGGATAGATCAAGAAGTGAGCGAGCGACGGTATGTGTTCGCTCACTTCCCGATCTACTGAGCCGACCTGTGACAGTTTCATTGTCACAGGTCAGCTCAGATTATGAGGCTGAGTGAAAATCACTCGCCTCATAATTCTCCTTTAATGGTTTACTGGCTAGTTCAATTCCATGTCAAATGGCTGTGTCCGTCCTACTCCGTGCTCAGTGTTGGGTCAGGGGACGCCTTTCCTACATATCAATTACTGAGCAACGCTCTGCAAGAGTCAGGAGATCCCAGCGGGGAATTACATTTTATACATTGGATGGAAAGCTCTATAACTTGGTAGCTGTGCAGTAGTCTCCAAAATATAAAAGTTCTTTCTTCTAACCTGATAGTGGTATAAATATCATTTGGGTAGAGCTGTAAACAAACACACACCGATAATCAGATATAAGAAGGTTGAGTCATGGGTTCAGAGAAGGGTCTCAGTACAAGCCTGCAAAAGAACACTCAGCATATGAAAATTACAAGCAAAAAAAAAGGAGCGATAGGAGAATGTCAGCACAACATTCCAGAGTATTGCGCTGTAGCCAACGAGCGGTAGGCCCTTCCTGGAGCAGACGGTCCTTCCATCTGATATAGTCTAGTCTATGAATTAGAGGAAGGCCGTCGCACACATTAGGAAGTCACGTAGTACACTGTCTGATGGATATCAAAAAGGTCACACTCGCTCATAAGCAAACACTTCTACAATGCATGCCTCATTCTCAATGGAAAAGGCAAGCAATGTCTTACTCCGTACCAAAGAGATCAGCACCTCACAAACAATAAAAGTCCATATTCTATTCAGTATATTTGTTAAAATCCAACACAGCCATGCGTTAAATTGTATTGTCAAAAGAAAAAAAAGAACTCCGGGCAAATTCTTTTTATTAACCCTTGCAGTGGGGCTACCCCATTGCGGTTCCCCAGAGATGGGCTTTAACAAAACGATACAGAATAAAAAATATGGACTTTTTATTGTTTGGTACTATACGACAAAAGTAGTTTCAGATATATAGTTAGTTTGTGCACTCACTTATGTGACAGGTGGACCTGTGCACCATTGTTGGATTAAATGTCTCACTCACTAGTCAAGTCAAGTCAATGGAGAGGAATAGATTCTGCTGAGTGATGAAAGATTGGAGGCTTGGTGCTTTATAAATGTTTTCAACTGAAATGGAGCTACAGCCTAATCTCTACGGGTGACCTGCAAACACCTCTGGCCAAGGCTCACTGGGAAGCGAACAGCGATTCAACAGGTTAGAAAACTTTGATCACGGTTCTTTTATCCCCTTAAAAGCCAACATCGCCCAAATACAGATTTTACAGGGTTTTTTAAATGTGCCTTAAATGCTTCCACATTGCGTAGACATGAAATGCAGATATATGATGCCACTTGCTGGCCATAGACGGAATAGCAGTCCAGCTGCAATATATTTCAGACGGCAATTACCTGTCATCCAACACAGTAACAATTTCCCCAGCCTTAAACGTCAGTTCATTGTCCTCTGCAGCTTCGAAATCATAAATGGCTCGCACTTTTCTTCCCTCTGATTTGTGATTGCTCAGGAAGCTTGTACTTGGGTATAGACTAGACGCTGTGTTTGGCTGCTTCTGCTCTTTTAATGACAGTTCAATGGCTGAAACAAAACAAAAAAAACCCCACTAGTTAGCATATGTTAAGGTTATGAACATGGCACCAAGTTTTGTCTCTCCCATGACATAATTCAGGTCTCGTATACAAAAATGAAATAGTTGCAAGCAACCATCAACCGCATTCTCATCCTCATGGTTCTACTATAGAAAAACTACCATTAAGTCCTACCGTCACATTTTCATACAAGGTTTACTATGGTGAACGAAGAGGAAGTTTCCATTTTGCTTTTGATTTAAAATAACTACGTGATTCAAGGTACATTCTCTAGTATCATTAAAAGTGTACCTAAACCCACAAAGTTACTTTCGATATGCTGCTTCACATGTACCAGTAACACTTAAAGGAGAACTATGGGGTTAAGTCTTTTCCCCATAGTTCTCCTTAGGGTAACGGGAGGACACAAACTAGCATCCTCCCGTCACCCTAAGCTCAGTATACTGCGAGCTGCAGCTCGCGGTATACTGAGACGCCACAGTATCCTGCGAGCTACTGCTCGCGGTATACTGAGACGCTGCAGCTGAAGCGGATCCCGACAATTATGCCGGAATCCCCCCAGCTGCGTGACAGCTGGCTCTGCCTATCTAGAAGCAGAGCCAGCTGTAACCGCCCCCTCCCGATCCGCCAGTCAGCGCTGGCGGATCGGAGCGGGGAATCCTGCCCCTCCCCTGTCACGGCAGACTGCTGTGACAGGATCGAGAGGTGAGTGAACGCCGGTATGTGTTCGCTCACCTCCCGAAACAAACTGAGCCGACCTGTGACAGTCTCATTGTCACAGGTCGGCTAGAACTATGAGGTGAGTGAAAAGTACTCACCTCATAGTTCTCCTTTAACTTTTTAGTATTTGTTAAATTGAAAAATGTAGTTATGTTCCTTTCATCCCGGTCTCTGTCTTTCAGGGTGACAACCCTGACCCAATGCAGTTGGAGGCGTTGCCATGGTGCTGTGCAGTCTCCTGCTGCGCAGCTTTCAGCCCTGTCACTTCTTACTGAGTGAGAATAACACCCCCCAACACAGCGGTGGCATTGTTACTCCGCTGTGTGCTCTTTGGCAGCATGACCCTATTCAAGTAAAAAATGGAGAAAAAAATTTTGAACAGGTGACTGACGTCCCTGGAAGGGACACTCTCGTTGCTGTTCATAGCTCTCAGCATCTCCAGCCGGCACAAACGAGAAAATTGGTGATCGCCTTGTCACATTTGTTTGTACTATTCCATAGTACGGGTTCACATTTGCTGTAAAAATAGTACCCAATCGCTTGTGAAGGTGCATAGATAGCCCTTATGGGCACATACCCTAAATGGTCACTTTAAACGTGATCTTCAGTGAAATGCAGGTGAGAGATCATGAATGTGAGCCTGTGCAATGCCCAATATCAGCAAAGTAACAGGTTATTCTTACTATATAAAGCATAAGCAGCATGTACATAGCTTCCATGTCCTCCACCCCACTGCTCTTATACACTGCCGGACTGCCTTATACATGATGAATTTGGGTATGGAAGACCAATACAGCTAACTATGTTGCTTCAATAAAAGACTGGCTACTGCCTCTTGGACCCGGTCACGGATCATATATACCTTTGGCTAGGTCCTCTTCCTCTTTCTTTATAGCCACCGTTCCTGGGTCCTTAGTCACTAGAGCAGGGCTGGCTTTAGCTTGCTCTGCTGCCTGCAAAAGGGGAGATATTTTTTATTTATTTTTTACGAACTGAAAAACAATTACCAAATTAACACAGTGTCATTCTGAAGAAACCCAACCCATGATCATAACCACTATCTAGGAGTGAAGCTTTACAGTTTCAATCACATGTATGCAAATGAAACTCATAAGCTCGCTGTCTCTAACTCCAGTGACATCATCATTCTGTTTGCTGCACCATGTCAACACCAGTGAGACGCCGACTATTCTAAACTTGCATACATGCGACCAGGATTGTGCAGACACCTTTCAGCTAGAGAAGCTAATGAAGACAGATCAGCCTTTGTTAGCTTTGTGCTTGTAGGTTACCAAGAACTTGATTGGTCAAAGTGAGCCTGTGAGCTAATCTTAGCATTTCAGGTGGTCCCAGACCTATAGTGATGAAACCTCTATGTGCGTGCTCACATACACAGTTTATCTTCAGGTTGTTCGCACTAGGGATCAGCCATGTAAGCTGTAGTCCAAATATTTGCACTGGGTTTTGTGCATACTTGAGCATTTTTGATTGGCCTAGGATGCAAGCAGACATCTGTCACTGCATTGCATTAGGAATCAAGGGCCAAAGCCATCAGACTTTATTATTAGTCAGAGATGAACAATCAATACACAGAGGTAATATGATTGTTATCGTATGAAATTCTGGCTGCAAGCCCAATTCAACACTCACCTCTGATGAACTATAGTGTGTACCTTGACTCTACTTCCCTACCTGGGATCCAATAGCCGGAAAGGTGACGCCTTGCTCCTTGAGATTCTTGATCATAGCGGCGATTAGACTAAGCTGTGGGTCGTTCTTGAATTCGTCTGCCCATTCTACCATTAGTGCTTTTAACTTTTCACAGACTTTAGGGTGCCCCTGCAAAAGACAGCAAACAGCAAAGATTGCCAATTATATTCAAAAGGTTGAGACTGCTTTAGGTTGCTATATAGGAGAACAGGCCTCGTCTTTTAGAGTGTAAGCCCTCAGGGTCAGGGCCCTCCTTACCATCTTGTCTTGAATTGTATTGTGATTGTAATGTATTCCTTATATTGTAACACGCTGCGCACACTGTTGGCGCTATATAAATTCTGAATAATAATCTGAGTAAAAGTACTTTAATCACTTCCCGTCCGGTCAGTGTAATTAAATGGCCAAACAGGACGCTCCTCAATGCGGGTGTACGTTTTAAAACGTTCAAATTACCCGCTTCCGCTCGTGCACGCCACCCCGTGCGCACGAGCGGGAAATGCGTGCAATTTAAACAGCGGCCGATGGCTGTTCACATACAAGCGTTCTGGCGGCTATGGAACCGCCTGATAGCTTGTATGTTGAGTGCCAGTGTGTGGTACCCCTCCATCAGCACAGCAGCTCTGTGAATGGAGATCGGGGGGCAGCACACGATCTCCTGCTGAACTACCCTCCGGTCTCTGAATGCGGTAGTGGTAATTTCTATGGCTTCTGTAGCCGGAGAGAAGCTGGTAAAGCAGATTTGTGCTAAATCAGCTTCTTTGGGGATCCCAAGGTTAAACTGATGTCTCCATAAAGAGGACCCGTCACTGTACCTGTGCTATTACATAGGGAACTTCTTAGTCCCCTATGTGATAGCGATAAAGTTAAATTTAAAAAAAAAAGTCACATTTAAGTTTAAAAAAAAAACAACACAAATTTTTTTTTTAAAAGGTCCCCCCTCCAAATACACACACACACACACACACACAAACATGTGTTGGGTGCCATGTTAGTGGCTGTCTGGATGCGGGGAATAGGAGGGACAGGGAGCAGCCTAAAGCCACGGAATCTGTCAGTCACGGAATTCACAGCCTGTGAATTAAAGCAGAACACAACGGTACCGGCCCGCACTGGGCACTGAAGGGGGAAAGGAAGCCAGCCTCATCTCATGCAGCGCTAGGAGAATCCCTGGGGCTCCACAAGGTAGGCGAACCTACCCCTCTGCCTTACACAGGCAGGCCAACAAGGAAGACTTCCCGGGCAGCATCACCACATGGAAGCCCTCTCTCAGCGTTCTGTGACGCGCTCCCCAGCTTGACTGAGGAAACACAAAAGACTGAGGGAGTGGAGGAGAGGAGGGTCTTTTAAGCAGATTAAGTGACGTGTTTCCTGTGTGTGGGGGAGGAGATTCCATCTCGTGATGCTGTCGTGATGCTGTCCTGGAAGACGTTATGGGAAATGTATATTGTGTGTACATATCCCAGGTTTTTTTGGTAAAATTAGGTACCTCGGCTTATATTCGGGACGGCTTATACTCGAGTATATACGGTAACCCGGTAGTGTTAAAAACAAAACATTGAAATATCCACCTTGAATCCAATGCTGTAACCCCCTAGGAGGCCCTCTCCTCCACCAAATGGCACCCCTCTTCCAGGCTGAGTAACTGCCAGTGTCAGTCAACCCGCTTCTTGTAAACTCAGACTGTCATGGCCACACTAAGCAGATTTTAAGTGATCAGCCAAATGGTCCAGCTAGGATTCACTGGCCGGCAAGATGGTGGCAACTAATGGAGTATCTGGGATGCTGGGGACAGTTTCCTTCCTTTAGACGGCTCCACACCTCTTCCAAGCTGAATGACGACAAGTGCCCAGGGCATCAGGGCTCTACCCCCCTTCTAACAGAATGCTGCAGAGAGCGGCACCATGTCCCTAAAGGGTGCCACTCTCTGCAGCAGTTAAAATCAACTCAACACCAGCAGTAGGAGGAAATGGTAAAGAGGACATGTGAAGTCACCAGTGTAAAAAAAAAAAAAAAAAAAAAAAAAAAGGAGTAGTAACTGGCATGTTTTAATAGCATACAATTACTAACGTAAGAGTGGCAACCAGCTTGGGAATAACGGGAATGTTGAAATGTTTAAGTATGATATTTCTGGTACAATTGTTGGGGTTACTGTAAATAGCCTCATACTGTGTAAATTTTATGCTGTGGGGAAAAAAGGCCGAGCCCCTTGGGGTAGGGCCAAGAAAACAGAATAAAGTTTGTTTAAAAAAAAAAAACACCAAACACCAGCAAAGAAAATAGTAATGTCTATTGACTTGTGACATTGACATGCTTACCTTGTTTAATACACTGCTAACTTCACTTGCAAAGTCCCGGGAACACACTTCTAAGTGAAAGATCTTCCCACAGTTGGATACACAGGCACCTAGTAGCTGAATCACAAAATGGGTTTGGTAAGCACACACATGAAATGGCTGGAAGTGCATAGTTTGGATCAGTTTGGGCACAAAGCACACATTGAATACTTACAATATGAATTTTGGAGAAATGACAGACATCCATTAAAAAGCCGGACTACATCTATAACAGCTAAATACACACATGAAGCTCTTTTTCCTGCTAGAGGATATGAATTTCTGTCAATACAGCTCTAAAATTTACACAGTGCTGCCAGAGAGCACAGCCCTGAATGGTAGGGCGGACATCTGATTATTTTCTACTACTAGGGTCATTCCCTCCCCCAGCCATTAACTGGTCTGTGAAAGAGAAGTAGCACACTAATGAGCCCATGTCTCTCTATCACTAGTGCTCCTTTCTTCTACCAGCATGTCCCTTGGTAGCACATGAGCACTGTAACACAGCTGATTGGCTCTTTGCACTGCTTCTCCCTCTCCCAATCTAAGCTTTGCGGTATAGTCATTTGAAGAGGTTGATAACAGAAAATTTGGGTGCTTACACTGCTTGCATAAAAAATATATTTGAACTGTCTTATGCCAGCAACTTTCTGCCCCACAACAGTAATATACTAAGATGAGATGTCCCCTACATCCCTCTCTGCTTTCTGCCTCACCGATCACATTCAGACTTCTAAGACGGCATTCTCAGTCGGCTGCCAGGGTTGGGTCAGAAAGTAGAGACAAACTTAAAGTGACATTAAACCCTCAGATTTTTTAACATAAAACAATAGTGTAATGTGCGCCTTACTGTAATCCATGGTTGTTTCCCTTCTCTTTGCTGCTCTTCCTTTTAAATCTGTATCTGTTCTCATGCTGGGGGAGAACTTCTGTTTTGCAGCTGAGTGCCTTGTCTCTGAAATGGATACATGGTGTCTGTGTATAGGTTTGCAACCATAGCCAGCACTACAGGAAGAGGCACTCAGCTGCAAAGGGAAGTTCTCCCCCAGCATGTGAAGACATGAGGATTTAAAAAGGAAGAGCAGCAAAGAGAAGGGAAACAACCATGGATTACAGTAAGGCGCACATTACAGTATTGTTTTATGTTAAAAAATCTGGAGGGTTTAATGTCACTTTAAAGCGGACCTTTACCCAGATCTTTAAAATGACAACAAACACACCTTCAGAAATGTTTAGTAATGACAAATCTACAAACACATACTTCTAGATAATTGCCGGCTTTGTATTCTTTGCAATCCTTATTTCTCTTTTCTTCCCCAGTCTTCTTACAGTGGCCATGTTTACTAAGGGCAGATTACTAGCTCTCCTTTTGCTTCCTGGATTTCTGGCACATGGGACTAGGACATGTGACCATGCACATCATCTCAGGGGAGGAAAATGCCTTTGCCAGAGATCTCATGACATTACAGAGGAGATTTCCCAGCAATGCTCTGCTGATGACGTGGCAATCCCAGTGTGCATTGGGTTGGCAAACTGAAGTCATTTTGCCCTTTCAAAGCAGGAAGTGAATGTTCTGCAAGTGTAAGTATTTCATAATCACAGCATTCTACACCTGACGTGTCTGTGTTATTATTAATCATCATACATAGAGGGATGCATTGGTAGAATTTGATTTTTGAGTGTAAAGGTCCGCTTTAATCTTAAGTCACTGGGTGTCTCAGCCATGTTCTATTAGTAAAACAAGAAAGAATTCACACAGCTTAATTTTTATTATTATTATATTACACAGGATTTATATAGCGCCAATAGCTTGCACAGCGCTTTACAATATAAGGAATTGTAATTAGACCACTAACACGTCTGTTTCCTTCAATCATGACAGAGTGGGAGAAGGAGATCTGCTGCTCTTCAAGGTGTAAGTTCACTTTTAGTGGACTTGTACTTGGCAAGCTCCACTTACCTCCCTCATCAGTCCTACAAACCACACATGCAACGGTCCCCCTGCCGAGATTTGTGCTGTGCGGCCCGCTAATCACTGCACAGCCTCACCTTGAAAACCTTCATGGTGGGGTCTTGCTCCTACCGGTCATATGCACCACAATCCATATGCACTGAAATGGGAAGTCTATACTCAACTTTAAAAAAAAACAAATGGAGGGCTGAACTGGCCCCACTGTGAAGATCTTAGCGAACCCCCAAATTAGATCCCTGAGGTGAGGGGGACAACAGATCCACTAGTTAAGATCAGGTGATCTGATGATGATAAAAAGGGAATGGAGGCTCCAGAAGAAGTACGGGTGTCTAGGACAACCATTCAATCTTGTATGAGAAGATACAGAGAACTATCCAGCATAATACGCCAAGGGAAATGGTCAAGACCTTGGAGTTGGGAGACAACTCCAAGGGAACCATCATAAGTCAGAAAGACTGAAAAATAAGGGAAACCGGTAAGACAAGTAGAACACATGGTAGTGTCAATAGAACCTGACAGGGAAAGTCCACTGCAGGGCCTGCCTGCCTGATCCAGGACATGAGATCGGGCAGGCACCTGACTCACCCAGCTAAACCTGCACAGCCATTAAGCAAGGGGCAGAGACTTCAGCCTAAGAGCAAAGGAGGATCACCTAAGGACAGTAGCGGGGGAAGGTATTTTTAGGCATTTTCCCTAGAAACTGATTCCCAAGGATTCTATCCCACAAAGACCCCTAGACTCACGCTGAGTGTGTCTGCATCAGAGTTGCAGTGTAAGCGAACTATCAAATGGAGCACTGAGATGGTACTGTGCACAAAAAGCAGTTTGGCTCAAGCAGCATATTTGAAAGCATGACTGAAGTCACCGAAGAAAAAAAATATAATATCCAACGTGTACATAGTATCTTGATTGAAGAAAACTAAAGACTTGTAAGCCCTCAGGGGCAGGGCCCTCTTTACCATCTTGTCGTGAATTGTATTGTGATTGTAATATCTTCCTTATATTGTAAAGCGCTGCGCAAACTGTTGGCGCTATATAAATCCTGTATTATAATAATCAAAAAATATAGCTAAACTTTTTCTCAGCAGAATGGAGGAAAAGGCGTCCAACCCCGTAGGACACGGGTAGGCAACCTTGGCTCTCCAGCTGTGCTGAAACTACAAATCCCATAAGGCATTGATAGCCACAGGCATGTCCCAGAGGCAGAAGCATGATGGGATTTGCAGTTTCAACACATCTGGAGAGCCAAGCTTGCCTACCCCTGTCCTAGGACATCAGCAAAAAACGATCTGAGGTGGGGTTTTATGGGGCTGGCTTACTTTTTTTTGGTTGTCTTGTCTAAACCTCCTGCAAGTGGCAGCATAACCCACATGTTTAAGAATTACTATGTTTCTATGTCCCTTAATGTTACCTCAGATCAGACGTTACAGATAGATCAGATAAGTATATCTGGTGATTTGTGTTTCTGTTTATTGTTCTAGGTGCGCCTTTCTCCCATAAAAGACCATTTTACTATTTGTAATGATCAGTTAAAAACAAGATTAATTCACAAGAAAGAAAAAACACTCACTGTTAGTGCCTGCATTGCCACATGCGGGTCTTTATGGTTCACTCTCCTCATAATGGAGCGCAGGCAATCTTTGGGCCTATTAAAAAAAAAAATTGCAAAATCAAAATAATTTTTCCCCACATATAACTGATCTTTATGTTTTTTTTATAACTCATCCTTAAAGAATAATAAGACTGGTCCATTGAATATACAAAAACACCATTCTACACAACCATTGAGTACACACAGGGCTACCCACTTCTCAGTGTTGCTTACTTTTCCATCCCTAAGGCCCCATTCACACTATGCAATTTAGGATTCCTGCTGCAGAATTCCTGCATCAGGAATCCCAAATATCCTGTTTAGATGCAGCTGCTGCCACCCATTCAAGTTAATGACCAGGTGACAGCGGCCGCATCTTAAGCGGCAGTTTGCATGTAATCCGTTGCGATATGCTTCCATGCAGTTTGGAATCGATCACGGTCCCTGGAGGGATTTTATCTCATACCATTACATGCAGACTGATGCTTACAAATGTGGCCACTGTAACCTGGTTATTAACTTGAACGGGTAACAGCAGCTGCATCTAAACGGGAGATTAGGGATGCAAGGTCTGCCAAATCATGTTGTGCCACAACCTTGATCTTCAATAAAACTGTGATGCTACTTCTCCTGTGCAGTCGCTACTTTGGGCAGCAATGACTCACGCATGTATCGCAGCACTGAATACATATATCGCCATGTCTCTACAGCAATAGAAAACGCAACCTGTCTGCTGGTAAATTTTAAACTGTTGCCTAAAGTTCTTCTATAAAACATAGAGTCACCGGCCTGGACACACATGTAGATTAGGGTGAAGTCAGCACTCCGGATCTGCATACTTGTTCCAAGTCAGAGCCTCAAAAATGACTAAAGCCACTGGATCAGCATGACAACCAAGCAACTTAACATTTTCAGGAGCTGAGCACAGCAATAGCGGCCTCAATATTCTCGCTTTTGATTTTTTAAACTCTTTAGCGATATCCAAAAAGCAAGTATCAACAGCAGCACATAATTGGATTATGTACCCCTCTACATTGAGAAGAAGGATATTTAGGAACAACTTACCCTGTGCGGGAGTGCCCAACCTTATCACACAGGTCCAGGATAAGACCCCAGTCTTCAGCCGTGTTCAACTCGCTTGTTGCTTTCTCTGTCAGATAAAACAGAACATTTCATTAAGGGTTTTCAGCAAGTGACTAAAGAATTCCAACTAGCTACTTTCAGAATCCGACACACTTCTAGGTCCTTGCAGGGTCCTCACTGCACGCTGCGGTTTCATCCACTAGCCTCCTACACTACAGGTCACAGAAGTGGCACAAGGACTGGTGGAAGGAGCCACAGCACGCAGCGGGGGGGCCAGGAACCCAACACACCTGAAGTGTCAGCAGCGTAAAATTCTCCAGCAAACCCATCTCCTAAAGCTGAACTCCAGGGAAATATATCACTCTCATCTAACTGACAAATAATAAAAAAAATCCACTGTGCACTCACTGTTCTGCTGATCTGAAACCTTGTAGGAGAGGTTGGGAGGGCTGTGCATCACAGCAAGGTAGAGAAGTGGGCCAAAAAGTGCGGTATTATCCAGGGAACGAATGTCTGACAATCGCCTGTGAAAAGTACTCTATTGTCCCCTGGGAACAAGTGTCTGTGAACAAGCGCCACCTAGTGATCACTCCCAGTACTGCACTGTATTGTACAGCACTAATACTAAGTGCGTCTGTCTGTTTTAATTTGCTTTTGATTACAGTATTATTATGAAGTCAATACAGAGTTTATGGTATAGTATGCGTTATGGCATTAGTTAGACCTATTTAAAAGAGTAACTCTCAAGTAACCAGAAACTACATTTATCCGGAGTCTACCAATACCTGTGGATGTCGGATAACAGGGAGTTTACCCCACACACACACGCACGCTCTCTACCTCCATTTATCTGCTCACAAGCATTTGTATTTCTGTCCAGAAGTTAGATTTACACAGCTCTGCCACACTGCACAGGGTAGATGATACTTTTCTGTAGTTTCACTTTCACTTACAGGCCCCTTCTCCGTCCTTACCCCGCTTCTCGACAGGGAAAGGAGAAGCAGCACATGGAGGAGTTGATCTCACACTTTGCCCTCTCCTTCTATCGGCACGTTCCTAGCACTGTAGCACAACTGACTGGCTCCGTGTGCTGCTTCTCCCTCCTCCTCTCTGGGCACTGCTGTACAATGACTGCAAGAGGCTGCTTAGAAGACTTTGCAATTATTGATGCATTATGAATACAGAGCTGAACAATGTTGTGCATTTCACAACTGCTGGAGTTCAGCTCCGGGAATTGAAAAAGCCGACCCAATGGGGCTCCCCCTGTACTGCAAGGGTTAAGTGCTCGCTTTGTCTAAGGGGGGGGATTTAAATAAAGCAGATATACTTGCCTGATCCTCAGTCCCGCGGTGGTCAGCGTTCCCCTCCCCCCCCCCCCCCCCTCCGATCCAGCTGTGGAATGTCCGTCGGCATCCTCATGTCCAGGGCAAGTCAGTGAACCTGATGACGTCGCAGGTGATGACGTCACAGGTCCTTAGACTGCTGCAGTACAGGGGAGAAGAGGCTGTGAGGGGACTTGTCTAGCAGCCAGGCGGGACCAGGTGAGTATGTCTGCTTTTATTTGAGCCCCCTACGCAATACAAGCAGTTAACCCTTGCAGTACAGGGGGAGCCCCACTGCAAGGGTAACTTTTTGGACTAATATAATTTGATTCTGTATGAAGCCTAGGCTATCATTGTATATTTATTTGACACCTCTATAACTTGTAAACATATAATTACCAGAATACTTTCCCTTTGATTGTTTATACCCTGGAATACAGCTTCACCTAGACAGCCCGCGTTCATTAATATACGCAAGGGCAATTTTACGGAGAGATAGGTGGCAACGTGGGCAACTCACTGGCCACTTACCTCTCACGGTGGAATGAATGATAGAAGTGCATGAGGATCGATCCACATTCAATTTAACAGTGTCTGCAATTTTAATAGGTTTTAATGGTGGTATTGTCAGCAAATGTGTTATCTTGTATGTTTCTTTTTCAATAAAAATAATTTTTCACGTAACCAACTGACTTGTCCGGATCCTGAAATTGACCACTATTAACCCGCCATCTTGTGACGAGTTAACCTCCCCTTTTTTTCTTCTGCACAAATACGGTCAGGGATCGGACTACACAAGCAGTTGAGTAAATATTAGGAGGGGAATTAGAATTTATCGGATCTCCAGGCAGGAACAATACCCAATTTGTTTCTAACTTTTTGGACTCCCCGGAGTTCTTCTTTAAACACTATGCAGATCGGCAAGGGGAGGGGTAAGTATCACTCCCTTTCTTGGCCTTCATTTAACTTTTTTTTGTGTTACAGCAATGGAGTCACTTTAACTTCGGGAGAGAACGGCAGAAAACGGCACGATGACAAAAGACAAAAATAATCTGCATTGTTACACAATATCCTGCTATCCAGTCCCCCGACTCCTCTCTTTCTTCCCATAGACCTGGGAGTGCAAACCCCCCCCTCCCCCCAAACGCAGGAACACTGGATGAGCGTCACAAATTAATATTCTGGACAGGTTATTAAGATGATTGATGTCCCCCTCGCAGGCAGGTGGCATTGCAGTTTCCTTGCAGGTGACACGCAGGAGCGCAGAGATTTTTTTAACTTCATTAGCAATTGCGCTTACAGAGCGGCGCCCGCAGCGCTCAGCGGGATCACCGCCATGACGGCAGTTTAGAAGATACATTGCCGTCACTCTCCTTTATTCTCAGACACAAGAAAACTATTTTCTCTAGACTGCGACATGCACGGCTCCCTGTAAGGACCAGCAGGTTTCAGGTCTGAAGAAATGAAAGAATTTGGGATCAGTGATCCTAATTAGAGGTATACATTGTGCATCAGAAAAGTGTACAGGGGGCTACAGAACATGGTCCGTAAAGAGAACCTGTCACAACACCAGGACATACAAAATGAGCTCATGAGGGGGGAGGAAAAAAAAATGAATAGACACAAGTCCCATCCCCCCTCTCCACCCAGGGCAAATCTCCACTCTGCATCTAATCCATTACCAGCTAAGGAATCAGGCGGATGGATTTCTATGCCAATCTCTTTTCTTCTAAGGCCCTGTAAATCATCACGTTCTATACACTATGCATAGGACATAAAGATGCTGAGGGACATACCATTTCTGCAGCAGAAGGGGAGACAGAAACGAGCAGTTAACCCTTGCAGTACAGGGAAAAGCCCCACTGAAATCCCCAGAGTTCTGCTTTAAATCTAATGCAGCGTCTACAAATCAAATTCTAACATGTGACCAGCTTCAAAAAGCCTTTCGTTAGACCAGGGGTAGGCAACCTCGGCTCTCCAGCTGTGCTGAAACTACTAATCCTATAAGGCATTGCAAGCCACAGACATTGCTCGCAGAGGCATGATGGGATTTGTAGTTTCAGCACAGCTGGAGAGCCGAGGTTGCCCATGCATTAGACCAACAGAGCCAGAAAAATTGATCTATAGGACATTGTTGTTCTTGTCATTTTCTGTGGAACGAACTTTGTTTTTGTGTAACTATCTTCCACCGGAAAGCCCCCGTCCAGGATAATTACGGTGTTAGGTAAAAAGGGCTTTTAGGTTTTTTGCATCCAGTGATCACCGAGGGTCCATTTACACCTTTCAGCAAATTCCCAATAAACAATAAAATACATGAAAATCAACCAGCATGTTGCATTGCGTTTATCAGCAATGGAGTAGAGCGCTGTCTACTTTTTTTTCAGCGCATGTATGCAGAGCAACGCACAAATATTTTTTTTTTTTTTAAAGTTGCTATAGAAACATATATTATTATTATAATACAGGATTTATATAGCGCCAACAGTTTGCGCAGCGCTTTACAATATAAGGAAGACATTACAGTCACAATACAAGACAAGATGGTAAGGAGGGCCCTGCCCCTGAGGGCTCACAATCTAAGAGGGAGGGGGAAGTGATACATGAGGAGGTAGCTGCGCGGGGATGAATTGTCTGAGAATGTGATGGTTGAGCGGTTAGGTTGACGTGGGATAGGCTTCCCTGAAGAGATGAGTCTTAAGGGATCGCCTAAAGGCAGTCAGAGTGGGAGACAGACGGACAGGTTGGGGTAGAGAAGTCCTGGAAGCGAGCATGGGAGGAGTGGACGAGGGAGCTGGAAAGCAGGAGGTCTAGGGAAGAGCGGGGGGACGGTTAGGGTGACACTTTGAGACAAGGTTTGAGATGTAGCCGGGGGCAGAGCTGTGGATTGCTTTGTAAGTCATTGTTAATATTTTGAATTGTATCCTTTGGGCGGGTGGAAGCCAGTGCAGGGATTGTAAATAGAAACGCATAGCGCAACGCAGCTCAGCACATGTAAAATCAGATGAAGTGAACTTAGCACATGGCAATGCACCGACCTGTGTTATCACATGCGCAATGTTGTGAATAGGCCCTTAGCCGGGGGGTGGAATGAACCTAGAGACGGGCATTAACCGCTTGCAAACCGCGTGAAAAAAACAACGGACGGACGGCAAACTCACATTGGCGGCTTGCTGTAATTAAACGGCTTTTTTTTTCTGCTCGCGCACGTGCAGAAAAACCCGTCCGTTCTTCAAAGCCATTACCGGCTGTTTGACATACAAACGATCGGCGGCTCTATAGCCGCCGTTCGCTTGTATGTTGTGGCTGCTCGCCCCCTCCTGCAGTGCCGCCGCCGCCGCCCCTCCTCCTGCACCCTCACCTTCTAATCCGGGATCCGCTACCCCATATGCGGCTCGGAGGGCGTCAGGAGGAAGAGGACAGGAGATCAGCTCCTTGCTGATCTCCGTCCGGGCTGTGAATGCAGAAGTGATGTGTATTACATCACTTCCGCATTCACCTGTCAGTCATCTGGCTGCTATAGCCAGAGAGAAGAAGCTGATGAAGCAGATCTGTTCTTCATCAGCTTCTTGGGGTCCCCAGGTGACATTAGGGGTCCTTCAGACCCCTAATGTCTCCATAAAGAGGACCTGTCAGTGTACCTGTGCTATTATATAGGAGGATTGCTATCCCCCTATGTGACAGCAAAAAAAAAAAGTGTAAAAAAAAAAAAAAAAAAAGTTAGAAAAATAAAGTCACATATAAAAAG